AGCCACAAAAACGCAAATAGACTTGTATGTTCTTAAAAATATTCAGAATATTTTTATTTTTTAAATAAAAATTAAAACGTTCTGAATGTTTTTATTTTTTTGTGAGGAGTGCTACTACAATAACTGAAAAAGATAAAAAAAAAAATTATTTTTTATTTTAATTCACCTCCTCAAGGCCGAGAAGGCCACTACAGACGAGGAGGCTACTTATTTGTGGTTATAACCCTCTCTCAACTCTATAACTCCGAAACACGAACCTTGACGAACAAGGCTACTGCGTGGAGAAACGAGTTGAGCGCGGTACTACCAGGGACGTGGTGGGGATCGAACTCGGAACCACTCGTTTATGAAGCGAGCGCTCTACCACTACACCACTACTGCATAAAATGCTATGAGTGTTGCTGCATCAACTGACAAGTAGGTGGAACATCCAATTAATGCTGCTATATTGACTGACTAACAGATAGACCATGTAAGGAGTTCTGCTGCGTCGACTGAGGGTTTTGGTTTTGGCAAACTATCTATTAGTTAAATCGACTGAAATGAAAAGTATTGAAAAATAGATGACCAATTTCTTTTCTGAACCATCAAATTTAATTTTTGTAGTTCCACTTAATTTTTGTATATATTTTTGTCATAGCTTCCTGTAATAGCTATGAATGAATTGACTTATATTATTGGTTTTACTCTTTTTTTTACTTTTAGTATTTTTTACCTTATCAAACATAAACAGTAATTTTATATATGAACCTGTTATGGAGTGAAACAAAAGCAAAGGTTTTATTGCTTCAAAAAAAATGTGATTTCTAGTTATTGTTATAATTGTTGAATGTGGAGTAATGTTTTGTTGTGTCTATTGGCCAAAATTTAAATTGCAATATAAGCAAAATTAAACTTATGAAAATAAGTTCTGGAATATTGTGGATGTTGTAAAACAACAAAAATGTGTTAAAAAAAGGCCAATAAGGTTGTACATTAAATTCTAGATGCTTCTAAAATTATTTCTATTATATCAAATGATTATTTTATCTCATTTATTATATATATATATATATATATATATATATATATATATATATATATATATATATATATATATATATATATATATATATATATATATATATATATATATATATATATATATATATATATATATATAAATAGAGTGGATATTCAAATAATATTTAAACTTATTCAGAAACTAAATAACTTTATATAAACGTACTTTATAAAAAGTTTAGCATTATTAAAAAATGTTACTAATGATCCGTTAAAACGCACGTTAATTTCAAAATCAACCAAAAAATGATGCTTTTTTACTTTGATTAAAGTTTGGAATTACTAATGTTGTTTGAACGAAAATTGAACTTTAAAAGTTGTAAGTGCTTTATAAAGGTAATAACACTATTATGGTTTTATTACTTTTATAATGCAGTTAGTGACTAGAGTGTTATTACTTTTGTAATCGTAAATTTATTGTTTTGTTTTGTTTTTTATAACTTTTTTGCTAACAAACTTAAAATAATTTACTCTTTGTAAACAAAGTACATGGTTTTGCATAAAGTAAAATTATGAAGACCAGATATTTTTCCAGATTAAGCAAAATGCAATCACTTAATTCAACCCTTTATATATATATATATATATATATATATATATATATATATATATATATATATATATATATATATATATATATATATATATATATATATATATATATATATATATATATATATATATATATATATATATATATATTTATATTTATGTGGGTCAAACCACTCGACATTTGAGTAAAAGAATTGAGGAATGTTTAAAATTACAAAAAACTACTTGATATAAATCAACATATTTATTCAAAAGCAAGTTGATTTAATGTAGCCAATAAAGACTCTTTTTCACTATTAGACTACGCCCAAACTTCACATCACTTAAAAATCAATTACACATGTGGGGAAAACCTGATCTTAATAAACATTTTTAAATTACACAAAATCACTCCAGCTCTAATCGACGTTTTCTACCACTCTATGACGTATGTATTACAATAATTATTTACATTTTACATTTTCTATGACATAATTTTTAATCCTGTCATGTTTTATTTTGTTTAACTAAGGAATAAAATTAAATTAATGTTTTGTTTTCACTATTTATTAAATAGTTTTTGTATTAACAGTTTTATACTTATAAATGATTGTATAATCGAAGCATATATAAATATATATAAAAAATATATATACAGGCCTCGGCAGGAAGCGAGAGCTTTAGCTCTCGCTTCTCGCCCACACTCCCCTAAAACGGTTTACAGGATCAATTTACGGCTCTCGCAAAAGTATAATTTTTCTCATGAAAGTAAAATTATCGTTGTAACTAAAATAAAAACCAAAATGTCATTAAAAAAAAAATTAATTGCATAATATACTGCAAATACTTTTTAAAAGGCATGGTTGTTGTAAACAAAATTAAAATTATAAAAGAGTGCTAATTTAAATGAGGAGCAGCTCGCACAGCTCCCCAAATTCGTTTTAGGAGAGCTTTTCTCAGCTCTCGTGCTCATTTATTCCTGCCGAGGCCTATATATATATATATATATATATATATATATATATATATATATATATATATATATATATATATATATATATATATATATATATATATATATATATATATTCCATGTTAAAAACAAAAAAAATTGATATTGTGAACACTTCTGCACTAGTTATTTAACAGTTAAAACTATTAGATAAATTTATAAATATTTTTAGGCTTATCTAATAAATCTTTCTGTATGATTTTAACAACAATGCTTTTTTCATAACAATTATTACAAAAGCAAAAGAAATAAAAATGGGGAAAAAATTATTGTATCCAAATTTTCAAAATATACATCTTGCAATTGTTGACTAGAGGCAATCTTGCAATTATTAACATATGGATGTTTCCTTTTTTTACAGACCAAATCTTAAACATTTGAGGGTATAGTTTTTTTTTTTTTTTTTTTTTTTTTTTTGGGAAACCCTAGTGTGCAACCACACACGTCTCTCTGTAAAAGCTTGTCATAAATAGATTCATAAAGATCATTCATCCTCCAAAGCCAGTAATAATATAACACAGGTATACATCTAACCCAACTTTTTAGATAATCCATAAAATATTTGCGAGGCTTTTTTTCAGTGACAGTAGCTTGATGCAGTTCATTCAAAGCTAAAATAAAGTATACCAAAGATGCATATTTTATTTTAGTTTTATAATACAGAATAATTCACTCTGTTATGTTTGTTGATTTTGATGAATGCAGAGTAATTAACAAAAATACTATAAATTTTATCACACAACTGTTGCAAATTTATTTGAAATTTGATAGAGAGAAATACTATAAAAATTGTTAAACCTTTAGGGTTATTTTGGCACCATTATCTTTTATTATCTTAATTTTTATCCTGAATAAGTATAAGAGTTATAAGCTGTTCTCCTAGCACATCTTGTTCAAATTACAATAAATTTTTCTATATTTGATCTTCAAGAAAGTTTTAAATACAGTTTTATAATTAAAATCTGTACCATAATAAAAAAAGAATTGCAAGAATCAACAAAAGAATAATAAGAATGCGACAAACCATTACTTTAATCTACGCTAACTGTTTAATACAATTTTTCAGTTATTGTTGAATGTAATAAATAGTCCTACTTTACTTTCAGGCTAATTCTTTTTCATGGCTACCAAGTTTCATACTCTAACATTTACACTATTTGCTCTACAACTGTTTCAATTGTTTTATTGAAATCATTTGAAAATGATAATTATTATTTATTTATTTTTATGTTAATTCACCTCCCCAAGACGGCGAAGGCCTCTACAGACAAGGAGGCTACTTAATTGTAGTTATAACCCTCTCTCAACTCTATAACTCCGAAACACGATCCTTGATGAACAAGATTGCGTTAGTTTCAGAGACCAGCGCTCTACCACTAGACCTCTACCGCATTGTTTTTATCAATAATATTATTTTAGACATATTTTAGACACTCTAGACTATTTTTATTTTTTGAAAGATTTAATTTTATATTGTTTTCTTTTTGCATACTTTTTTTATGCTGTTGACATATTTTTTGCCATAGATAAAAAATATTTCTGACTCATTTTTTAGTGTTTTACTATTTATATTTTACTTTTGTTTTTTTGATTAAAATTTATTTTTTGGTTGTAAGGAAAAACAAAGTTATTCAATAACATTTTTGACAAACTTTATTTTATTATTTGTCAATATTCGTCAAAGTCTATTTTATTCATAAATATCTCATACGTGTTTCTTAATTTTTTAAAAGCAATTATTTTTTATAACCAGTATCTTAGTTGTAACTTTTTATTTTCTTGCTGATAACATTGCACTGTTGAGCCAAGTTAATGTCTTAAACAAAAAATTGATTTAACAAAAAAATGACTTTAAATGGGTAGTATTTCAATAACTCCTGTAAAAAGATTACCTTATCTGCAGTAGACATTTTATCTACCACAGTAATAATAATCAAGTCAAGTCTCATTCTACCCGTAAAAAAAGCTCAATTTATTGCCTAGCTTACACTATTTTAGTTGGCATCAGGTTGCAGCAAAATATTTTGAATCAAAAATTTGAAATTAAAAAGAAAAATTTGTTGTAGTCTATAAAGTTATACTTGTTTATAAAAAATGTCAAACTAATGTTTATGTAATGTTAAATATTGTTTGTAAATAAAGGATGTGTATGTTAGTATTGTTTCTTTTGTTGTTAAAGGATGATGACTTAATAAAATAAAAGATTTAATAAGATTTTAAAGATAAAGTATTTAGAAGACTTTTTGCTTTTCTTTATCTTCTTACTCCTTTTTTTTTAATTTTATACTATTATGCAAGTTTTCCTCCTTCTCCTTTTTTTTAATAATATACTATTATGCAAATTATCCTCTTTCTCATTTTTTTAATAATATACTATTATGCAAATTATTTTAAGAGATGGAAACAAACAACAACTCGGAGGCTGTATGCGAGACTTCAGGAATCGACCATATCCAGTTCGTGCAAAGATTCGATATTATAATAATGTGCTCACTGTAAGTTTCTTTCTTTTATTTTTATGCAAAGCTTTAAAACTTATTGTTAAAGGTTAAAAAATAATTTTTTAAGGTATTTTATCATGCTGGCATGACTGAAAAATCTGATGATTATGAGCTTTGCATGAGAGCAGAAAATGTTAAACTTCCAAAAAGTGGTTATTTTGGTGTAACAGCAGCTACTGGTGGTTTAGCAGGTGAAGTAAAAATTTAAAAAAAAGAAAGATATTGATATCGAGTCTGTATTAAATATTTAAAGAATTGTATGTAGTATGTTGCATTAAATAATAAAAATAATTATTTTAAATTATTATATATATATTTATAAAACTATTTAAATTAAATTAAAAAGCAAAGACTTTATTAATAATAATATTGATAATAATATAAAAAATAATTATAATATTTTCCAACATAAAATTGTAATTTTACCTCTTTTTTTTTTTTAACTAGATATTAATACAGTAAAGTTTATGTTGTAATAAATCTTTTAAACTCTGTTATTTTAATTTTGATAAATGATTGATATGCATGCATTGACTGATTTAAATAGGAATAGTGTACATACATTAAGTGACTTAAATAGGAAAACATGCTGGGAGTGTACATGCAATAGGGAAAGGGTTAACAAACTGAAAAAGGGTTCAATTAGCACATGCCCTTTATATGCTGTTTATAATGTGTTTATAACAGGTTTATTAAAAAAAATTATTAAAATTATTATTAATAATAAGTATTTTATAATTTATGACAGCATAAATATTTTTTAATAATTAATACTCTTATTTTAGATCAGTTGTTGGAATAAAAAAAATTCAATGGGTGGGGGGGGGATAAGAAATGTTAGATGAAAACTTATTTCCCTTTTTTGGTAAACTGATTCCTTTTGATAATCATTTTCTTGTTAGTAAATAGTTCATAGAATATAATTTCAACAAATCTATTTAATATATATATATATATATATATATATATATATATATATATATATATATATATATATATATATATATATATATATATATATATATATATATATATATATATATATATATATATATTTAATTATTATTTTAGTATTTTTCATTATTAATATATATATTTTTTATTATTTTAATATTATATTTTTTAAAGTATTATAAATAAAATTTTCAACAATTAAAAATAATGAATTAAAAACATAAACCTAATTCTTACAAATCAACAAGATTTTAATAGCTTAGTTCCTGACCCAGAATAAATCAAACCGTTTAGGCAGGTTTCAAATACCTCATATAAAAATAGGCTCCTTACCTAAGTTTAGTGAGTGTAAACCTTAATTAGCTAACTCCTGTAGACCTAAATCCATTTAAGTGTTGTCCTTTCTCTATTCACAATTAAGTTTCCTAAATTTGATGAGTTGTTGCATAGTCATAAAAAGAATAGTCTGGAAACGCAGGCCGTTTTTAATTGTTTTCATTCTTTATGTTGAAAATCAAATAGCCTGCATAATTAAGGTGCAAAACAAACTTTAATGATGGCTGAAAGTTCAGAAAATCGAATCATCTTGAGCCCATTTTTGAGTTGCATCAAGACGAGCTTGAATCTGTTTTACAGTTACTAACAAGGATTTGTTAAATGTTGTTGCTGAAAAATAACATGCTTCAGATATACCACAATTAATACTTTTCTGTATATTTTGTAACAAAAAGTGTTTGAGCTCTAGAGTTTCCAAATTAGATAAATTCATCATCTATCAGCATTGATGAAATGTAACACCTGGTTGAGATATATTCAGTTACTGTCAGCCATCATTTTATGAAAAGAGTTCATGCATTTCTCAAGTTCTTGAAAATGACAAAATTTTAAGCGGTAAGCTGATGGATTACTGGTTAAGAATCGAATCCCAGAACAAAGGAAGTCCTCACCTTCACATGATTGTGTGGGTTGAAAATGTTCCAGTGTTTAATAGACTAGAAGGCATTGCCTTGGTTGACCAGGTATGTACATCAACATCTACAATCCAGATCTTCTCCAAATGTGGGATGGTAAATAGACATCCCACTTTGTGGAACATATGAGGCAATAGCTCATCATATTGGAAAATATATTGCTGTAAGTGAACCTACCAATATCAACGAAAAAAAATAAATATCACTTTAAAACTTTTTAAAGTGCGCGTGAGAATATTGAAAGAACATCAAGTTTCTGCGTGTGAAGCTGTTGTAAATTCTTTATGCACATATGAAGGCAACAACTTGCGTTGTTGCCTTCAAATTGACAACAGGAGTCTACTACACAAGCAACAGGAGTCTACTTGAGCATTTTTGAGTAATATGAAAAGCGACCGAATAGAAACGTTCATAGTTTCAATTTTAATAAAATTGAAAATGACAATGTAGATGCATAACTAGAGCTGCAATGACAAAGATGTACTATAAACCTAACTAATGGCACAAAAACGGTCATAAGAAATGTCCCTGCAGTCGTTTGTGTTCCATTCTTCTTGATGCATAAGGATACTGAAAACTATTTCTAAAGTCATCTTCAATATTTATTATACTGCTCAGAGTAAACTATTGGATTCAAAAAGGCTCAAGAAGCATTCTTGGCTCATGAGAATGAACTTAAAGAATCTATCAGATATATGGAGACTTTCAGAGAGCAAGATAGACAGCTGGAGTTGGCTTTCTATCTAGCACAAGCCTTCAATATTCTTGAAAGACCAGAAGAAATTATAGCAGAAGAGGTGAAAATTGAACAACTGTGTATGACTGATGAACATTTCCGGTCCAGCAATGAATGCTTAACAATGTGAACTTTTTTAACTTTGTCACCAACAGCATTCAGCAGCAGTAGCAAAGTGACAAAAAATGTGTTTTGTTGTTTTTTACTGGTGGTGCAGGAGTAAGAAAAACATTTACTTTCAAGGCTCTGATGAAGCAAATCAATTGATGCTTAAACAAAACAGCTTTAAAAGTTGCAGCTTTGACTGGTGTTGCAGCAAGGTTAGTAGGTGGACCCATTATCCATAGCCTACTCAAATTGCTGGTTCAAAAGGACAGATAATGCCAAACATACCATCATTAACAGGAAACTACCTCAAAATAATGCGACAGCAGTGAAGAGATATCAAATACACATTCATTGATGAAATAAGTATGGTGCTATATGAGATGCTTTGGATGATCGATTCACATTTTTGACAGCTGAAAAATAATGACAATCAAGCATTTGGAAGTATGAATATCATTATATTTGGCGAATTGACGCAGCTGCCACCTGTAAGAGGAGACTAAATCTTCAATCAGCCAAATCAATTTCTTCCCGCACCTCTATAGCAAATGCTTAGGTTAGTTGAGCTAACCGAAAATATCCGGCAACAAGGAGACAACACATTCACTAATTTGCTGAATACTCTTTGCATTGGTGAAGATTTAATGCTCAACATTTCAGTCTGTTAATGACAAAACTGATTACACCAGAGAACCTTGTAGGCGACTTTGCCATTGACCAAGCTATTCGCATCTATCCAACAAGAGCTCAAATAGATTCTCACAACGATGCAGTTCTCCAGCATTATTGAGCAGTACTACATCAAATCAAAACCTGGGATAGAATTATCTATTCATCAAGAAATCTAGAAAATGTACAAATGGATTTTGTTGCAAAAGACATCAACAAAGCCGGAGGCTTGCCACAATTGCCAGAGATATTTGTTGGTTGCCAAAGTTATACTGTGCTTAAATCTAGATATGGAGAAAGGTCTTGTTAATAGTGCTATGGGTACAATTGTAAAAGATGGATTTGATAGCCCAGTTTCCGATGAAATCAGCTCTACGATGACAATGTCTCATCAGTTCGCGTTCATTACGGTAGAGATGGAATTCATTTAATTGAATTATATTATCTACCTTGGCAAAAAAAATTTGCCTATGGCTAAGCTTATGTAGCTCTTAGCCCAATTCGATCATTGGATGGACTATGCATCAAAAAACTAGACTGCAGTATACTAATAGTAAAAAAGCCATGCAATGAATATGCCATCCAAGAAATAGAAAGAATGCATCTTTACCTACCAGAAGATAGTACTTGCAATCGAACTAGTCATTTAACTTTCTTAGCAGACTAAAAAGTAAATATTAAAAAATATATTAAAAAAAAAACTTTTTAAAAACAACATTTTAAAAATGGACTAAAAAGTAAAAAATTATTTCACAAAAACTATTTCACGGGACCCAAGTACTTTGTGCACGTACACAACCTGAAATATCTATTAAAGTCAATGAATGAAAATGTTAGGCAACTAAGTACAACTCATTCCTATTGGCGGCCAACATTTTCAGTCATTGTGTACGTACACAAAGTCTTTAGGTCTTGTGAAATAGTTTAGTTTTTACTTTTTAGTCCATTTTGAAAATGTTGTTTTGAAAATTTTTTTTTATATATTTTTTATTTGATTTAATTATTTTTATTTTAAACCTAAAATATCTCTTTTTTATTAAGAAAAAAATATTTAGTATTAATATTTACATAATGGCAATATTGGTTGTTTCATCTTATAAAAAGCATTATAAATGCAGTTATTATTTGTATTGTGCTAAATCAGCAAATAACTGTCTCTTATTACAATTTTCCTATGATTTTTGACCACTTATCATGCCCTGAAGATTAGAAATATTTTATTCTGTTATATATGTTCTACCTTCTTAACTACCTTCATAACTTAACTTTTCAAAACTTATATAGCATGTATTGCAATATGCGTTTTTTGTGTTTGTTTGTCTATACATCCATACATAAATATACATAAAAATTATGCACTTATCAAAATTCAACAATTTACCAAGCAAATTCTTTATGCACATATGGCACTAGGTACAAGCAAACTATATGGCCCTAGGTACAAGAAATGATGGCCTCGTGGAAAGTGTCATCCATTAATGAACCCCAATTGAGAGGAAACTTATTGAACATCAGATGTGTGTGTGTGTGTGTGTGTGTGTATGTATGTGTATATAAAGTGGGAGAGAGAATTTTATTTACTGTTTTAGTCTAAACTTATGCAAAGGTAAGTTAATAATAATAATTTAGTAATAGGGTTGTACTATTTATTTTATGATATAATATTCATTTTTAGATGATCATGATGTTTTGAAGTTTCTCACTCACAGTCTTACGCCCCCACTTACTGAAGAAGTATGTTAATATTGCTTATTTTGCAAAAATTGTTTAGTAAATTGTTTGGTAATGTTTATTGTATTACTTTTGTATTTAGCAAAAAAAGAAAAGTATTACTGAAGCTGATAGAAAAAAGTATGAAGAACAATATGGTGAATTTAGTTCAAAACTTGAAACTCAAAAGGAGGAGTTTAAAAAAGATCATCCTGATAAAAAACCAGCAGAAGAAAAGGTTTTAAAATTTTTGTTGTGTACAATTTCTTTAGATGAATTGACTCAAGTTATCGTGTAATAATACTACCTGTTGCTGTGTTTAACATTTATTAATTCTTTATATATATATTTAATATATTTGGTTAATATATTTAATATATTTGTTTAATATTTTTATAATAGTTTGAAACAGTTTATGAGCGTGATGTGCGTTTAATGTATGAAGCACAGCAAGAAATGCATAAAATTATGCGTGCATTGCATGGTAAGACAGGTGAGCTGACTCAGGAAGTCAATAACTTGCATAGTGCTGTAAGCAAACAACAAAATAGTGGTGGAAGTGTTGACTATAGTATGCGACAGGATATTGGAAATATTGTCAGTTTACAAAATGATGTTCATAGATATGTAAAAGATATTGCGTAAGGATTAAATATTTCAATTTCCAGTGGTGTACCCTCCAGTTTTTGAAAACAGTTTTTATTTCTCATTTGAGTTGTCCGCTATGATAGTCAGTAGTTCGGTGTAAAGGATATTCAAATATTATTAAAAACATTAGGAACTTTTACAAATACTTTAAAAACTTTATAACCACGTACTTTATAAAAAGTTTGGCATTATGGAAAACTTTACTAACAGTCCGTAAAAACTTAATTTTAAAATCAACCAATAAAAAGTTTTTATTAGTTGATTTTAAAATTAACATGTGTTGTTAGGGATCATTTGTAACGTTTTTCATAATGCTAAACTTTTTATACAGTATGTTTTTATAAAGTTGTTCAAGTTCCTTAATAAGTTGTAAATATTATTTGAACATCCGCTCTATTTTTCTAGATGCTTTTCTAATTTAATTAAAATATAGTTTTATTAATAAACACTAACAAACACTAACTAACACTAACTAACTAATAAACAACAAATAAATTTAATTAAAATATAGTTTTATTAATAAACACACTCTTATAACTAACAAACTGTCTGGTCCTCCTGCTACTGACAGGCCTTTTTTTTTTTTTTAATTTCAGTGGCCCTTAGAGAAAACGAGCTGTCCCGTGCCACCGGACGACCATGAGGGTACACCACTGATTTCTAGTTATGTATAGTATATATAACAACCTTTGCAAGTTTTTTTAATGCTAAACTTTTTATACAGTATGTATAAAAAGTTTAGTTCATTTTTTTTTTTTTAATATTTTTAGATCTCGCATTAGCAACAGTGATGTAAAAAAGCTGGAACAGATAGAGCAAAATATAAGAACAATATTAGAAAATGTTGGTCATTTAATATCAAAGGTAAAATTGTTTCAATTTTCTACGTTTTCTATTTTAAAAAAATTGATTTAGGTTAAGTGTATATATCTGTGTATCTATTTGCTTAGGCTGTTGCACATTTGGTCAGAACTTTTTAACCGGTATCTAATTATTGCCTTTTTGTAGATCTTATTCAGACCTTTTAATTAATTGAAAAAATACCAGTTTTAATTAATCAGCATGCCTACTGGTGAAACCGAGCAGTTTTAAAGCACCTCTATATAGATGTTTTGGTTTTGGCCTCTATAAATGTTATACACACCTACTCCTTAAATCTAAAGTTCTAAATACCAACATTTCCACCTTTTTAAAACTTTTAACTAGAACTTTGCTTTTTCTATTTATTACTTCAAAAATTGCTTTACTTATTAAAAACTATTTGCTTTCATTTTTACAAAAACCACCAGATTCTCTCCTTAGACCACCTTAATCTTGTGAGCTTTTCCTGGCCATCAGCATGGGTTTTATAACAGCAACAATAACACTTTTGGTTGTCTCAATGTGGATCCTGCATGAATTTGAATGTCATTTTAAATCTTTTTGGAGTATTTTTGTTCATTTTTCTGAAATTTTTTATCGTGAAATTCTTTATGGTGAAGCCATGTTCATACCTATTATTTCTCACTGTTATTTCACTTGCTGTTTTTTAATCTATTTCTGTGTACTTTAATGTTTAACTTTATTAAAATATTTAATGAGAATTTAAATGTGACTAACCTCGTCAACATAACCAATTAATGCAATTTTATACATTGAAAATATATATGAAGAGCCCATTTGCAAAACGCTCCAAGTCCGAGTAAATTGACTTCGAGAAATCAAAGGAAAACGTGTCCAGGCTTAATTAGCGCTCCAAAAAAAATTGTGTTTGTTAAATTTGCACTATCGAGTAGCGACAATTAAATAACTTGCACGAAAAAATTGCAACTCTTTAGGATCTCAAAATAAACCTTGTTGAAATATGGACTTAGCTTAATTTGAATATTTCAGATGTACTAAGATTATTTTGAAAATGTTTTGTTGAATTCAGATAGATCATTTGCTCATTAAAACTAATTAAAATGTTTTGAAGGATTTAATTTGCACGAATTATATTATAATTATATTATAAAAAAGGTATCGGAAAAAGAAACTTAAAACATAGAGAATGAAGAAAAGACTATAATAAAAACCTAGTTTTTTATTAAGAAATTGATCTTTAACACAACAAAATTTAAAAAAGATAAATACATCAAAAAGTTAAATATGTCTGCATAAAGCATCTTCATCAATACAGCTCCATGTAGTATCTTCCTCGTCTTCTACGTGTTTTTCTATTAAAGAATCATTAACAATACTTTTTAAAAAATTAAAACGATTATCCTGCTCCCAATTCACTGCAGCATGCACAAGAATCAAACTTTTGATATCTTTTTTTTAGCTTCTGCAACTAAGACTACATTTAGGATCTGAGATGGACAAGATAAACAATCATGACCTCTTTTTGTTATAATTTGAGGATTGTTAATAAAAAATTTGAAATTTGGTTCTCCTTGGACTTAAATATTTTGAGGTGATCCTCTTGTGATAAAAAAGCGTTTATTTTCCTAAATTTTGATTAGCAAATTTTCCTGAATTTCTATTGGTTTTTTAAAAACTCTTAAAGGTACTGATTTGAAATTTAACACATTCCAGTCTTTTCCTGCAATTTTCACTGTTCCCTCGGTACTGTAAACATTATAGTACTCTTCTGGAGAATATATTCTTTCAATTTTTTTAACTTTTTTTCCAAAGTTCCAAATACATGGTCACAAGGCAAAAATGTATGTCCTCGAACAGGGAACAAAAGTTCAATTGTTTTTACTAATATCGGTGCATGTCTTAACAGCCAGAAGCCTGCCATATAAATCAAAGCAATATTTTTATTTTTGACCACCACATGCATCAGAAACTAAACAAACAGTGTCTATGCCATCCATGTTTGTATTGCAGAGCTTGTCAAATACTGCACTGGAACAGGAAGAACTATTCTTTTTGAAATCGCTCTCATTCCAAGTATAGATAGTGACATTATCTTGATTTAAAAATCCGTTATTTTTATTTTCTACAACACAAAAGTTGTATATGTACAGTTGTCTACTATAATAAGCTTGCTGATCTGGAACTTTAGGGATGACTTGGTTTTGTTGATGGTCAAAGCAAACAATTTTTAAACTATGTTTTTTTTTCTTTTAAAAGATCATAGAATGCATTTGCTCTATGCTTATGAACAACTAAATCATTAAACTGTTCTTCTTTTCTGAGTGATTTTCGATCTTTATTTGGCTTCGAATTTTTTTACAAAATGAACATGCATCTGATTTAGGTGAACCAAACCCTAAATTAAAGTTGAGCATAAATATTTTTCTCAAAAATTCATGTCACTGGTAGCTTGGGTTTCCTTTCTGC